CTTCCTGCGGCAGCGGGCCTGGGCCCTTCCCGGAGTTCTTCAGGCTGTGCCGCCTGCCTCCGCCCTGCCTGTTGCACGAGCTGAGCTTGTGTCTAGAGCGTCCTTGGCTGCCGCCTCCACAGCAGGTTCCTTCCCGCCCCGCTGACCCCGCCCCCTTATCACACGGCCACTCCCGCTTGTCGCCTGGTTCGCACACGTGTGAGCTTTGTGAGTGGGGACGCAGTCTGTCTGAGAGAGAGCCTCAGCCGCAGTGACAGGAGCCCTGGCGTCTGAGACACTTGGTGGAGGGAGGATCTCAGGCCTTTCGGGCCGCTGTGACTCGGGCCACGAGGCCCCTAACCTGCAGTCACTGGTGCTTAGCACGCTCGGGGCTGCAGGTCCACGGTAGCAGGCTTGCGGCCTGGTGCGGCACCGACGGCAGAGCTCTCTGAGGTCCTTTAGAAGGACACCAGTCCCCTTCACAAAGGTCCTGCCCATAGGGCCTGACCACATCCCAAAGACGCCACCTCTTCACACCCTCGTCTTGGTTAGGGTTTCAGCGTGAACCCGGAGGGACCCCACGGTTTGTGAATCCCTGGGACAGTGTCTCACCAAGCCTCAGAAGGCCCAGTGCTAAGCAGTCAGCGGTGAGTGCAAGGGAGAAATGACTCTGCAGAAAACAGGTCTGACTCTTACCTTTAAACTGGAAGATGAGATGCAGACAGCGTCAAACGTGCAGCGTGTGTAATTGGAATTTTGCTCACTGAGGGGCGGGGATATCCCCGTCGTCCACTCAGTGGCTTTGCTTGGGTGTCCACGAAACACGGCAAGCGTATGTTTCCTCTGTGCAAGCCGCGCCGCCTCCCCCCAGGCTCCCCTGGCTGCGGGTCTCCGCGCGGGCAGGGCCGTGGCCCTCCCGTCGCTCTGCCCGTCCTCTGTGCCCATTCGCACTTTGGGTCTCTCCTCAAGCGTCGCCTGCTTACGAATGGTGCCCTGCCTTTGCGACCAGGTCAGGTGGGACGGGCTGCAGCGCAGTCGCTCTTACTCTGCTTTGTAACGTTTGTCCCTGTTGCATGTTATGTTTATTTTTATGAGCAGACCAGGCACAGTTCTCAGCCCATGAGGCTGAGCGTGGATTAACAGGGTAGGGAGACGCTCCCTTACCTAGCGTCAACAGCAGCCAGATAGGGCGCTAGGCAAAGACAGGGGCTCCTCTTTTGAAACAGTCAGTTCAGTTCATTTTAACTTCAGTCATATAAATACGCGTTATTTGTCCTTGTCTGGGTCCGGCTTTTCCTCTGCATCTGGACTGTTGGCTGGTATTCCCTCAGGTCTTTTCTAAACTACTCTTCATGTGTATTCTGTGACTTTTCAGTTGAAAAGTATATTCTTCAGCTGGCTTGGTGGTGCACACCTGTAATCCCAGAGCTTGGGAGGATGGGGCAGGAGGATCGCTGTGAGTCCGAGGCCAGCCTGGGCTACAAAGTGAGTTCAGGGCCAGCTTGAACTACAAAGTGAAACCCTGTCTAAAAAAGAAAAAGGAAAAGAAAAAGAAAAGTATATTCTTTAAAATGAAATAGTCTTCAGGACTTTGGCACTTTGAAACCAACTGCATGCCAAGTCCTTACTTTTTAATTCTTTTTCCTTTATCTTTCACATTTGCCTTGCTCACACCTGCTATGGCGGCAATTTCCCAGTGATTCGTATTTATTATTATTATTATTTTTTGAAGTACTGGAGATCAAACCCAGGGGTACTCTACTACTGAACCACCTCTCCACCCCTTTCTTCCCCTCCCCTCCCTCCCCTCCCTCCCCTCCCTTCCCCTCCCCTTCCTTTCCCTTCCCTTCTGTTTTTGAGTTAATACGTGAGTATTCTCTTAATCTCTCAGTAGAAATTCCTAATAGGGTAAATATGGACAGATAAAATCCACATAAACAAAAGCTTTTGGAGGGCCTTGGATAACTGTGCATTTTAATAAGACAACATTTTTAACAGGACCCAATACACTTGACTCAGTCCAGATTTTTAAAAAATATTTCTAGCCCCACAACACAGTCATAGAGCTTTGTACAGAGCACCCATCAATGAGCAGAAAGTATATTTAAGTATAAGTTTTTGTAAGTATTTAAAGAGAACCTCTATGAGGTATTTTTTCTGCCAGACACACATATCTAGTGCTGATTAAATATCTGCATGTGTTTTTCCCTAACATGTTTTTGATGCTTCGTGAGGTCCTGGGATCACAGCTGGGGACCACTGTGCACCCGTGTTCCCCAGAGCCCTGGGTGAGAAGATCGGCACTTTCCCCAGCAGGGTGGGAGTGAGCTGTGGGGTTTGGGGCAGTAAAGGTTGGTCCCCACTCTGGCCTCTCCCTGTCTTCAGCCCGGCCAGCATCATTGCCATGGAAACCACATCCTCAGGGCAGATCAACTCAACCCCCTTGTCTGGCAGGTTCCACTCCTTTTTCTTTTTTTTTAATTTTGAAGCAGGGCCTCACTAAGTCACTAAGTTGCCCAGGTTGGGCTTGAACTTGCAGTTCTCCTGCTTCACCCACCCAGAGTGCTGGGATTTTAAGTGTATGCCTCCAAGCCCGGTTTTCATTTTTCTTTTGAAACAGCCTCACCAGATTGCCCAGGCTAGCCTTGATCTTGTGATCCTCTTGCCTCAGCCTCTAGTTGGATGTCGTGTTCTCCTTAACAGCAGTGGTGCTGGGCTGGGTTGAGTTGAGCTGGAGAAAGGCACCTTCTCCTACAGGAGAGCGTGTGGTGCTCCAGCCTGTGGCCTCAGTGAGACAGCTGTGGTGCACATGCCCTGGCATCCCAGGCCTGCGTCCGCATCCCACGTTTGGAGCTCACACAGCTGCCCTGCCACGTTTCCCAGAAGCCTCTTGGGCCCAACTGGCTCCCTGTGTGGTTTTCCCAGTGGGAGTAACTTCTTTATGTCTGAGGGCAGAGAGATTAAGATACAAGCTGTTCCCTTGCCTTGTTTTCCTTCCCTCGCGTCCGCGGCTGCTCACGTCCTCAGATGTGTCTTGGAGAACACAGCTCAGCAGAATTTCCCTTGTTTATTTTAAGAGGGACTCAAGTGTAGATGTGTGGGACCTCCTGACCTTACGTTCCTGGGTGCCGTCCTGCTGCGGCCGGGCCTGCTGCCCCTGCAGCCAGGCCCATGCGCCCCTCCTCCCTCTTGAGTGCTCTGCCCTCCCTGTGTGCCCTGCTCCTGCTGGTGCCCATGCCCTGCCCCCTGGCACACAGGATCGCCACAGGAAGCACTCGTCCTTGAGGAGAAACAGTGGGCTGCAGTCACCCACGGCCTCCAGGGCAGAGGCTGGCACTTCCCTCTTCCTTGCTGTGTGCACCTTCGGCTGGGAGCGCACACCTCACACGCCTGCCACTGCGGCGGGGTTGGGGACCGCGGAGTAGTCCTCAGGTAATCAGCCGCCTTGTCCGCCACCCGACTCCTCTTGGGCTTGGAGCTTCTCCATTTCCACGTCAGGATCTCCTGTGGGCGCGTGAGCACCATGAGGCCAGTACCCAAGGGGGCAAAAGCGAGCCCTTGGGAGCCAGGTGGTCCAGAGCTCAGATTCTGGCTTTGCCATTTCCAGCTGCTCTAACCACAGGCAAATTGCTCAAACTCTGCGTTGCTGGGTTTCTTGTGTGTGCAGTGGGTCATAACTCACACCCCATGAACTCCCTGAGTGGGAAGTGCAGCGAGCAGGCCTGGCCTGTGACCCTCGGGGAGGCTGGCCTGTGTCCCGTGCACTCCAGACACTTGTGTCAGCCTGCACTGGGCAGAGTTGTCCGGTCCTAAGCCTGGAGATAATCACGGGGTTTGTTGAGTGCTGCACTGAAAGTGAAGACTAGTCCACGCATGCCTGTGCTCTCATACAATCATAAAGCAAAGACGGTCTGTGGTGCCGTCCTCGCGCGACTGCTGGGCGGGCTGGGCAGACTGAGCACGATGCCTGGCATGTCTCAGGCACCTGCTGTCAACAGTGAGGCTGTTGTCAATAAGTCCTGGCACCTTGGAAGTTGCTCTGAGTGTTGACTGTACACAGGAGGGAGGTTTGGAGGTTTTGCTAGAGCTGGAAATTTTAAAATGCTAGGCACAGGTCTGCTTTTGGGTGGAGGGCTTGCCCCCTGCCAATTATACAAACGAGCCCCTTCCTTCCTTCCTTTCCTTCTTTCCCTGCCCTCCCCTCCCTTCCCCTCCCCTCCCCTTCTGATCCTTCCCACCCTCCCTCTTTCGCTTTCTCTTTTCCTTTCTTTTTTTGAGACATGGCCTTGCTATGGAGTTCAGATTGGCTTCAAACTTGCAGCAATCCTTCTGCCTCAGCCTCCCGAGTGCTGGGATTACAGGCATGGCAACCGTGCCAGGCTTGAACTTTTAAAAATCCATTCTTTAAAAAAATGCCTTTAAGTTTTCTGGTTTTTTTTGTTGTGATTCTGTTTAGCTGTTTGCTATATACTAAGTAAGTAACCTTTAAAAGTTTTTACTGGCCTACTTAAAATCACAACCCTTGTGGGTTTGGTGGTGCACATCTGTGATCCAAGCACTTGGGAGGCTGAGGCAGGAGGGTCACTGCAAGTTTGAGGCCAGCCTGGGCTACATAGTAAATTCAAGGCCAGCTTGAACTACATAGCAAGACCCTCTCAAAAAAAATTACCATCCTGGAGAAAACTCAGATGTGTTCTCTCTCTCAGCCTACAGCATGGCCTCCTCTGTTTCTAACTCTGAGGTCTGAGGTGAGAAGATCTCAAGTTTGAGCTCAGATAGTTAGTGACTGAGTGAGTGAGACCTTTTCTCCAAAAACAAAATAAAACAAAAGGCTGGTGATGTAGCTCTTGGCTCAATCCTCAGTATGAAATAAAAACAAAACATGTCACTTAACAGGTCCCTCAAGGATATGTAGACAACTTATGTGGTTAGAGTCAGTGTTTCAGAGGGGGTCAACCCCTACACCTAGGTCTTTTCAACATAAAATAACAAAAATATTGTGGCTTCTCCTGCTCTTTCAGATCTGACGTGCTGACATGGCTTCCAGCCTCCATGCTGTTTGTGGGTATAATCTATGCCGGCTCCAGGGCCTTGTCCAGACTGGTAAGTGTTAGGGTTGGCCTTCCCTCTTCTTCCCCTTTCCCTTTTAACTCGCTGTTCCTGGGAGCAGTGAATGGGGGGCAAAGCGTCAGCTTTACTACTCATTGAACTAGGCTGCACAGCAAGTCTTGGGCCAACACGGGATGTTTCCTTCACTTTTGTGTAATTGAAGATAAGTAGTAAACTAGGCAGGGCCATGTGCCAGTTCGTCTTAATGGTCACCTTGATTGGATTAAGAGACTCCTGGCAAGATGCTGGGTCATGATGCTGGATTATATCCATAGCTGAACATGCTGTTATGTTACACCAGGTGACAATGAAAGGTCATTATCTCTAGTTGGAGGGTATAACTTGCTGGTATCTTTTTCTGTGCTTCCTGGCTGCAGGAAGTGAGTAGCTTTGCTGTCCCTTGCCAGTCTGCCCTGATGTTCCTGCTTTGGAGCTACCTGACCATGGACTGAGCCCTCTGAAACCGTAAACCAAACAAACCATTTCCTCCTTTAGGTTGTGGCTGTCAGTTGGTTGATCCCAGTAAGGGGGAAACTGACCAGTACAGGCCAGGCCAGGTACACCGATGGAGAAGCAGGAGAGAGAGTGGAGGGATTTAGGAGCCTGCGAGGGACAGGTCTTGCTTGGGTGGCCTCCTCCGAATCCAGGAAGTCAGCTCCCCTTCCCCACCGCAGGTAACTGTGGGGTCGGGAGGGCTCAGCCCGCTCCTCCGTCTGCCCATTGGTCATGTGAGCAGTGGGTGCTGGGCTCGAGCTGACGCTACACACACAGGACTGCTGTAGAGCAGGTTGTCGCTCTGCCTTTCGTCCTCTTGTCCCCAAGCCTGAGCTCCTTAAATACAGGGACTGAAGAGCAAGGCTGTTTCCAGGTCACATTAGTTAGATAGTTAGAATTTCAAATGTTATTTTGCCATGGAAAGAGAATCTCTTCAAACCGCCTCTGCTGGAAGCTGACCTCCTTCCTCTCCCATACCCTGGCTGTGAGCTGGCTCTTATCTCTCAGAAAATGCTCTGCATTCTGACTTGCGGAAAAATGCAGAACTTGCAAAATAATACCGTCTGTTTATAGTGTGTGTGTTATGTTAGTCCCTGAGATCCCAGATACAAAAACAGTACAAACAAACAAAACCCACCTAACTGGGGAGCCGTGTTACTGTTCCAGCAACTCCAGGGTTGCAAAATAGCGGTCAGGAATGTAATTTCACAACGAAATACTATGCTCCCCTCATGATTCATAGACTGGAGAGGTGGCATGACAAGTACAGAGGGGACGCTTGCCGGGTGGGCCGGGAACCGAGCGTAGTGCCGCTGGTGTTCAGCCCCACACTCAGCTCGCACCTTCACGTGGGCCTGGGCTTCTGGTGCCTCTGGCCCCTTCAGATCTGCTGCCCTTCTTTCACCCTTTGACCTGCAAGGGGCGTTTCTTCTCCAAAGCGTGGAGCAGTGTGTAGGATTCACCAAAACAATGTATTGCTCAGAGGCTTTACAATTGCTTCTAGATTCTGGTTAGATTGTTTTGTTTTTTCTTTTTGAGACAGGGTTTCTCTATGTGGTTCAGCCTGACCTTAAACTCACTTTGTAGCCTAGGCTGGCTTCAAACTTGCAGTGATCCTCTCACCCCAACCTCCCAAGCGCTGGGATTACAGGCTGTGCCACCAGGCCCAACTAGGCTCTGGTTATTATGGGTGCCATAATTTTGAAGGTTGACTGAGTAAGGTATTATGCTGCTTCTTAGGTTTCCAGAGTGATTTTCTTTTTTTGACTTTTTGAGACAGTCTTACTGTGTAGCTCAGGCTGGCCTTGGGCTCACTATATAGCCCCAGCTAGCCTCGAACTTGCAGCAATCCTTCTGCCTCAGCCTCCCAAGTGCTAGGATTATAGGTGTGCGCCACCATGCCCAGCTTTTGTATTTTTTTCTGTGATTCTCACAGTCCCCAGACCTGTGATGGCAGAGGCAGGTGCCAGTCACCTGGCCGAGGAAGAGAATCTAGAAGCAATTGTAACCAGCCTGTCATGTAGAGTAGTGGTGGCTCTTTGTACTTCCCAGCTACACCTTTACAGATTTGTTTCTTTAGGACCAGTGCAAATGGATGTTTTTTAAATGAACCCAGGGGGAGGAGGGAGAGGGGAGGAGGACAAGGTACTTACTGCTGTTTTCTAGTTAAAGGACTCAACACAGCATCTTCCCTTTGTTTCAGAGTCCTTTGTTGTTACTTAGCTGCTTAGGAATTCTGCGGGTAGATAAGCGCCAGGTGCTGCTCCCTTGCAGTTTGTGTTGGATGGAAAACGGCAGCAATTCTGTTCCTCAGGGAGTCCCTGAGGAATGGGGGAAGGCTCAGTTCCCACCTGTGGGTGCCTTGTTATGCAGAACACCTCCCAGCCGGTGCCACTGCATAAAGGCCCCCTTGATCTGAGGAGGCCTTGAAGTTCTGTCCTCCCTGTGCTGGGAGGGAGGAAGCTATGCAAACTCAGCAAAGGCCCTGCGGGAAGAGTTCTTTCCACTGCAAGTCCAAAGTCGATGGAGGGAAAGGAGGTTATTCTCACAGCTGTCCACGCAGCGAGTGTTTCTTTGGGATCTACTGTGTGCTGGGGGCTTAAAGAAGATCTGGCTCGTGACCTTGAGGAACTGAAAGGGATGGGCCGTGAGGGACACAGTGCTCCTGGGGACAGCCTCCAGGAGTGCGGAGGGCTCAGTGTGTGCCGGGCACGTCCTCTTGCCGGTCCTGATGACATAAAAGTTGGACTGACCCTCCCTCCTGCACAGGCCTGTTGGGCCTGCCTGTGACATACGCTGAACACTCACGGCATGAGGGTCGGACTTTGGGCAGCAGAGTTGTTACCAGGGCCTGGGGTGCCGTGGGCCCCTTCTAGAGATTGTTTCTAGGTTTCTGTTGTCCTGAACAAAGAATGGGATGGGGTGGGTGCAAAGAGTAGTGAGCTTTTACTCTTATTAAAGGGAGGAAAGTGGGTATGCTCCACAGAGTGAGAGCGGGTTGCTGAGAAAGAGGAGCACGGTGGCCACTAGGTTAATGGCCAACCTCTTTTTATCTCCCATTTCACAGGCTGACCTCAGATCTGGGCTGTCCTCTCAAAAACCTGCTTGATCTTGTGGCAGAAGAATTGAAGATAGCATTTTCTGATTGGTCCCAGGCTCGGGGCTTGGGAATGGTTGTATTTTTCTACCTGTGTGTCCTGTTTCTCCATGATTGACAGGGCACACCCACTTGCCCAGCCGGCTGGCTACACCCTAATCGCCTGCCTTACAACTTTGACGGGTCATTATTACTCGTAATAAATTCCTGACCAGAGACCTTCTGAGCCAGGCAGGATTGCCTCAACCTGTGCTGGCGAGTATCTAGGATGGATGTGGAAATTCCCGTGAGTGGCCTGCTTGTGAATAGCTAGCCGGTGCTGCTGCACAAACCATACCATATTCTTGCTTGGAGAAGGCCAGGGTCAGGGACCCTGCAAATCCAGGTGAAGACACCTTGACAGGACTGGAATTGCTTTTCCCTCTGGGCTCTTCGCTTGGTCCTTCCTAAACTGTTTGCCATGGTTTCTCTCCTCTATGAACTCAGCATTCACAAAACACATTGTGGGTGGACACAAGACATTGGTGAGGATAGTTAAACCTGTGTGCAATGAATTCTTTAGTAAGCCAAACTGAACTTGTGGACTTCTCTCTCTTTGGTTCCAAAATCACATAAAGGAACTTGGGTCCACAAAGGAAAGGAACATAAGTGTTGACAGAGGATGAAGACTCTGCCCCATTCTTCCCGTTACTGCTCCTGAAGCAGGCAGCTCTCCTCTTTCACACTGTTTCTTATCAAGATGACCGAAGTCCATCTCAAAGATTACCTTTTAAAATGTGGGCTGGGTGGCTGTACAGTAAACCCCTCTCAAGATTGTCATTATCTTCTTACTTCATCTGAAAATGCTTCCCCAAAGCCTTATTAAAATTGGACTTTATGGAAAAAGCTTCATGACATTCGCTTTGATTGTGATTTCTTAGATATGATACCAAAGGCACAGGAGCAAAAGGAAAAATAGACTAACCAGGTTTCATCAAAAGGAAAGACTCTGGTGCATCAAATGACACCACCAACAAAGTAAGAAAGTGTCCTGCAGAATGAGAGAAAATGTTTGCAAGCCACCGACTTGATAAGGGATTAATGTACTGACTGTAAGAATTCCCAAAACTCAATAGCAGAAGCCCAGATGACATGATTCAAAAGTGGACAAAGGGCTCAAATAGGTATTTCTCTGAAGATCTTACATAATGGCCATGAAAAGCTGCTCAACATCGTTAATCATTAGGAAATCCCAGATCAGAACGGTGTGAGAGACTACTCCATGCCCATTAGGATGGCTGCAATCTTAACAAGTCATGTTCGTGAGGGTGGAGGGAAATCAGCAACTTTGTGCACCGCTGTTGGAAATGTAAAATTATATAGCTGCTACGGGAAATAGTATGATGGTTCCTAAAACGATTAAGAATAAAATTGTCATACATCCAGCATCTCTTTTACTGTGGGTGATGGGGTCCCAGGGACAGGTTTTCAAGTTTTTATGTGTGGTGAAAAAAGAATTGGACATTGCTTGCAATGGTAAGGAAAAAGCAGCTAAGTTTAATGAAGCTTAAAGGATGAAGCTAAGCTCAGCGAGAGTGGCCTTGCAGAGGGGGAAATGGCACAATTTGAAATGTGTGCCCAGTTTAGTGTCCCTCTCATTGGATCTTTCAGAATGTGATTGACACGATTGACAGGGTGCTGAGTCATATCAGTTGTATCGACTGCTGATGTCCTTTCCCACTCTGTTATAATCAGATGCATGAGATGCAGTCCATATGTGTGAATCTCCTAATAAGCTCTGAGTGAAGAAAGGTCATTATATAGGTCATGCTAGCAGGTGTAGCACACATGCATCCTGATTTGGGATATTGGACTTTCCAGAGGTCTGTGTTATTCTTATTTTTGCTTCTAGGTAGAGGACCTT